TTATAAAACAGTGTTTAAAACATGTTAATAAATTTCTCATGCTAAACAAATGTAGTACTTACCGAATAGTAAAAAAAAGAAAAAGAAAAAAATAGTAATTTTTTTTATTTAATTTTTTTTTTTACATATTTAGTAGCATTGATTGTGGATTTGCAAGGGGCCAGAGGGTCATTACATGGAAAAGTTTGGGAACTCCTGGTTTAGTCCTGTGACAGAATAGTGACCTGTCCAGATCATGATCAGAACCCCAAAAGCGATTAAATGAGAATAGAAAACAAGTGAAATAATCTAAAGATAAGAACTGCTGCAGCTGAGAGTCAACACGAGACGAYTCACAACCACGTTTTGTTTCCAGAGAGAAACAACTGGAGCTGAAATTTGCCGCCACTGGACCCACAGATCCCGAAAAAGAGGTAAAGGAGTAGCGTTTAAAGAAACGGGTTACACATTTTTAATTTGATTTCTCCTACATGAGGCGTCGTCTTTTCCAGCCTGACCGAGTAAAGCAGCTCAGGACTGCGAGACGGGATGCTCCTCACAGATCTGCAGCAGATGCTAAAGATGCTAATCCTACACATGAGTACACACATTACAGAGCTCCTCGAGGGAATCCCCAGGTGGACTTCAACACAACGCACAGTCAGCWGCCAGGGAGGACTGTTCTTGGTCCTGGGATGGGATTAGAGCAAGATGTCCCACTGTTTGACTACATCAGTGAGGATTATCATGGAAACTTCACAAGAATGCCAGGAGAGGTGGCCCTTCCCAGGTAAACGCTTCATCCTCTCATAAACAAATTAAACAAACTACACAGCTTTAAATCCACCGATTGTTGTCTTTCAGACTGGCTCCTCCTTTTCCTCCCATAGTCCCAAACATGTACAAGACTCCGTATGATGCAGCTCATTACTTACACAGAACCAGGAACCCGTTCGAGATTCAAGGTGAGGCTTTAAGAACCAGCTGTCATGCACAGTGGAAGGAGTGTCATGATGTGGATGGGATAACACAGAAATTTCTTCAACTTTATCTCCAAAATGCTTATAAAAATGTGTGAACGATGTCCAACATGGCAAATATTTACTAACCTGTTCATTGTGAATTTATTGCCTTATTACCCTGATCAGATAACCTGCAGGGCGGGGATCAGCAGTTCAGGAAGTCTGAGATCCTGCCTCCAATCAGAGCCAATGAGTAGGTCACCTCTTTATCTCCACAATAGAATATTTAATCTGATGTAACATAAGTCTTTGCCTTGCTCTCCAGCAGAGGGCTCCTACGGCAAGATGTGCAGTTATTTATCTTTGTGTTTTACTTTKTAGAGGATCTCCCTTCGCAGCTGAAGGGCTTCACGCAGACACGTCCAAGCAGAGGAGGGAGAGTGTCCTGAGGTACCAAGAAGCACTTAAACAGCAGGTGAACACGCTGCATCTGATTTTATTTATTTACTTTAACGGAGCATGGAGGCGTGAGGATGCGCGTCACATCCTTCATTTCTCCAGATCCAGGAGAGAGAGGAGCAAAAACGAAGAGAGAAGGAGGAGAAGGAGCGACGTGACGCAAAGTCCGAGGCTGAGATGATGACCTACGACCCCTGGGGGAGAGGTGGAGGAGGCGCTCCAATTAAAGACCAACATGGAAACCTCATCAGTAAGCTCTACTTTATTATTTTTTAAATAACATTTTCTGAAATCAAAGCTATATTTTATGATCTGCGTGTTTTAGGTGTTCATAAATGCGTCTCCGTTTCCAGGTGATTTGAAACAAATGCACATAATCAATGAAAACAAAATGTTGAGTCCAAGAGGAGCTGGTTCTCCTTTTTCTCATCAGCTCTCAGGTATCACTTTTTTCGGTACAACTTTACAATAAGACTCCCCTTATAGAAGGCTTACAAATAGTTTATAGATAAGTTATTAATTCATCTGTAAACATTTTATAAATCATTAATAAATGTTTATTATGGATTAATTAATAACGGGAAAGAGACAAAACTGTCCGGTTTCTTGTCAAATAGTGAGTCAAATCTGTTTGTGTACATATTAGTAGGTTTGCAAGCACAATTATGTATTGGAAACACATATTTAAAAAATATTGTACTATATTACTGAATTATACATATTAACAACTGTCAAAGGGAGCCTTATTGTAAAATGTAAGACAGTACACTATTTATAAGGCTCTGTTATGACATTATTAGTCATTAATAAATAGTATACTGTTTTACACTTTACAATAAGGCTCCCTTTGATTACTGTGGATATGTATAATGCGGTAATACAGTATAATATATGTAAAATATGTGTTTTCAATAAATTATTGTGCTTACAAGGTAGTAAACTAGTCTGAAATGTTTAATAAGCACCTTTAGATGTAATATGTACATGAACAGATTTGGCTCATTATTTGGCAAGAAACTGGACAATTTTTTCTCTTTCCCTTCTTTAATTAATGAATAATAAACACTTATTAACGATTTATAAAGTCTTTAGAGATGAATTATTAACCTATCTATAAACTATTTCCAAGCCATCTAGAAGGGGAGCCTTATTGTAAAGTGGTAACCTTTTTTCTCTCACATCGTGGCAAAGCAGATCCCTGCAATTAAAGTATTCCGATTCAGTGCACATTTCTGTGTGTTTCCTTGTGTCTGAGGCAGGGTCCAGCCATTCTCCACAGCAGCCCCACACTCAGGACAGGTACAAAAAAGAGCTGCAACAACAAGTAAGAATGGTGAAGCGGGGCATGAAATCCTGAATTTATGATTTCTCACAGACTTTGATTTAAATGTTATCCTGATTTTTCAACAGATGGAAGAGAACAGGAGAAGGCGCGCAGAGGAGCAAGAGAAACTAAGGGTTGCAGCGGAGARGGACGAGAAGCGTCTGGAGGAGGAGAGGGCTCGCCTACTGCAGCAGTACGAGGAGGAGCAAAGGGTACAAAAAGAAGCTCAAGTAAAGTTCATACCTTTAAGAAGGAGCTCTAAGTCAGTCCTGTTGTTTTTTTTTTTTTACTTTCTGCAGAACCAAAAGCTAAAATATGTCCATAAAGTCCAAATGCAGCATACAGAGGAGGTTAAAAGCACTAAAGAGCAAAATAAAACAGTACCTCAGAGCGCCAAGAAACAAGAGGAGAAAACCTCACAGCTTAYTAATCAGGTACTATAAACCTGGAGCGAGTGTTGGAGCTTGAGGTTTTGTTTACATTTGATGATGTGGTTATTTTGCAGACAGTGCAGAGACAGTCATCTCCTCTTTTTCCAACTCTGCAGAGGAAACTTACAAATCCTGCAGCATCAAAGCCGGACTCTGTCGTGAGCTAACTCCCATGCTAATATTTACACACACAGCACGAGATACGGTGGCTCTAAAATGTTTACGACTTCCAACAGGAGCGCTCTTTGTCAGCCCCACATGTCCAGCCCGTGCCGAGAAACAACCCAACACCACGAGGTGAAAGTCTGGCTGCATGTTTTAAAATAGAAATGACAACTTTTATATGGGGCGCCAAGTGTAAAATGAAAAGGTTAAAATTTTTTCACCAACGTATTTTAAATTTTTTAGCTCACTGTTTTTACATTTAGCTATTTTGTTTTTACAAATTTTAAATTTAAATG